ATTCCTTTCAATATATCCCACAAAATTTCCTGATTAACGTTGTCGTATGCCCCAGTGATGTCTAGAAAAGCCACGTACAAGGGCCTATTCTCTATTTTAGATATTTCTATACACTGAGTGAGAACAAACAGGTTATCGTCTAACCGCCTGTCGACTCGAAATCCGTTCTGAAGTTCTCCCAAAATATCGTTATGTTCGGCCCATGTTTCTATTTTCATTTTTACTGCTTGCATCGCCAACCTGTATAGTACCGATGTAATGGTTAGTGGTCTATACGAGCGAATCTTGTCCTTTTCTCCCTTGCCTTTATAGATTAAGTTCATTCTACTTTGTCGCCAACTGTCCGGTATTTGTCCGTCCTTTAAGCTTTTTTCTACTGCTTTTAACAATGCTTCTTTAGTGTTATGTCCTAGTTCGTTAATGAGGCTAACGGGAATCCCATCTAAACCCGCGGCAGTGCGCTTTGGAATTTTTCCTTCGGCCTTTTTCCAGTTGAAATTATCAAGTACTAGCCCTTCCTCTGTTGCTTTCTCCGCCACACTTTTACTCACCGGGGAGATCCCCTGGACGCTCTTTTGAAACGAATCGGCTGTTACCTTTTGGATGTAACCTAGCGCTTCGTACCCTTCCAATTTATTTCCTCCTTCATCTAGAATATGTTGTTGCGTTGTGACAGACTTCCTACCTAGCGCCTTTATGTGGCTCCAAAAAATCCTAGGCGCGGCCTCCTTTTTTTCGTGTATCTCTGTCATCCAGCGTTCACTTTCACCTTTAATTTTTGCCTCTACCAATTTCTGTACAAGGGATTTTTTCTCTAAATATATTTCCCATATTTTTTTGACTTCGTCCTGCGGCCGCTTCTCCTTTTTTGCCTTTCTATGCTCCCGTGATGCTTCGCGTCGCTTCTCGATCGCCTCCCGGATTTCCTTGTTCCACCAACTTTTTGGCTTCCTTTTTCCTTTCCAGCAAACAGTTTTCTTCTCTTTCCCAATCTCCTTCGTCATTAGATGTAACAGCTCACTATACTCCCAGTCCTTGCCTGGTATTTCGCCTACTTCTTCCTCGACTCTTGCGGCTATATTTATTATTTGTTTGTCATTTAAATACGAGCTGCCAGACTTTGATTCCATGCTCATATTTTCAGTTTCGTATCCCATTTGTAATGTTATTCGTTTATGATCACTACCCAAGCTGTTAATGCCTTCCTCGTCTATCCTCATTTCTGTCAGTTTGTGGTAAATTCCTTCAGTCATGAGACAATAATCAATACTTGATTGCTTGTTTCCGACTTCCCATGTGATCTGGCCGTCACATTTAGGCCCCGTGTTAACTATCTCCAGACTATGTTGCTCGCAAAGATCTAGTAATAACTTCCCATTGGTGTCTGAATATCCGTCAAGGTCATGTATGTGGGCATTCATGTCCCCTAGAAGGATGATTTCGGCCCCATTACCAAATTCCTTAATATCCGCACTCATGCAATCCACTATCTCCTGATTCTTTTCTCTGCAGTTATTCCCCGTCCACAAGTAGGCTACCCCTAGCCACGTTTCCTTTCCACCTACTGTGCCCAGAACCCAGAGGTGCTCTGAACACGTCTGTTTCACTCTAACCCATTTGGCTCCGCGGTGAATTAGCATTCCTACACCCCCACCTTTCCTTTCCGATATGGTCCTGTTACACCCTTCCCAAACATAATTTTTAATATGTGGTGGCTCTTCCAAGTCTCTAAGGTGTGTTTCTGTAACCGCATACACGCCTATCTGTTCTTTGTTTAACTGCTCCTCAATCTCTAACCATTTTGCCTTCTTTCTGCCACCCTGCATGTTTATGTAACTAATTGCAACACGCGCCTTTTTCCTTTTTCTTTTACCTTTTTTCTGGTTTTTCGCAATTCTACCTGTCAAAGCGTCCTCCTGGTTGTTTTCCCTGTTACGAGCTACCCCGGACTCCGAAGGGCCCGTGAGCCCCCCAAAAAAGCTACTGCGCGTCCTGCCAGCCGCCAGCCCACCTCGTGTCCAAGCCTCTTATCGAAATGAATCTTGTCTCTTTGGAATCCACCCCACCTGTGCACTTCCCTGTTTAAATCCACTACCTCGAAACCCTTCTCTCGACTAATTCGCCATATCTCTTTGTTTGCGTCGACAACCGCTCTTTGCAGGTTGACGTTGCGTACTGGTACTTCCGGTACTGTGCATACTACAATTTGCACCTGGGGGGACACGGTGCGCATGTCATCCACCCCTTTCGCCAAGGTCGTCGCTAGTCCTGACGATTCTTTTTTCAGGACGTCATTTAACCCTCCCGCAATTACAACGAGGTTACGATTGTTAGCTTTAGCTGCGAGTTGTTCACCCGCTTGACTCATTACTGTCCCCAGCGTTTGTCCTGGGAACGTCCCTATCGCAACTCTCTTGTCGCCTTTCACCCTTTCTTTGATTGCCGCTGCGCATCGGACTAAATTTGAGTCACCGGCGATGATGACCTGTTCAGACATTCCTTCTGAAACCTGCACCTGGCTGCTGACTAGGTGACTAGCGCGAGTCACGGCTGCTGGTTTGCTCCCTCCCTCCCTCAAAACTACTTCCCGGTAGCTGGGCCCTGTGGCCAATGTATCTGCCTTTGTCATGCCTGTTTCCCTCATCTCTCCCGCACGGGGGGTCGTCGCCATAATGCTTCCGCCGTCACCTGCGTCTTCGTTCCCTTTCACGACCTTCGATAGGCCCTTCTCGGCTGCCCGGAGCCTTTCCTCCATGGCTGACGTTTTCTCTCGCTCCTTCGCCAATGCATTCTCCAGCTCTGCGATTTTCTCCATGAGCCCACTCTGGACCGCCATCATATTTTTCATTTTCTCCTCGAACTCGCACTGTCTACACTTGGCGTCATCTTCTGCTTTCTCTTCCGCACTAATTTCCACCTTCCACCCTACCCCGCACTCTGAACACTTTACGGTCTTTTTGACCATGGCTAGCTCAGTTTACCGATGCCCACGTGTTAGAAAACTGTACTAAAATACACTGGTCTAAGCCAAAAAGAACCACAATAATAAATAAATACGCTACACTTCACAGCACCTGCGCATGCACGTGGTCGGTCTACGCGCAGGCCTCAGCCACGTGGTGGCTGGACACAGTACAAAAAAGACACAGTACAAAATACTAAAAAAAATAAAAAAAACGTACACCGTACTAGACCTAATCAAGCTTTACGCTAGCGCCTTACGTTCTCATAACGCTACATACAGAGGCAAGCTGGAAACATGCAAAAACACTTATCTGTAGCTGTCATTCCGAAGCTCTCCAAAAACACGTCCGACCTCTACCACCACCACGACCACCAAGGGCATATACACACATATACACACATATACACACAAAGGGCATATACACACAACGCCACCTATCGAGCAAGGGATAAACTGGACGTGGCTACATACTGCATACGGTGGAGGGAACGACCCACGGCCTAAGGAGTTCGTCCCTAAAACCGACTGCTCGCGCTGCGCAACCATTCACTGGCCACCTCATATAGAAAGTGGATCTTTACCTCCAAGGTAGTTCCAATGGGAGATTTCTGCTGTATGGTGTTGAACAATGAAAATTCGCAGCGTGCGCGTCAACTAAACACGGGCCGTGGGTTTCTGTGTGCGATTGGAGTCTTCTGTCTGTGATTATCCAATAGCAGTGATTCACATGTTGCAGTAAGAAACGCCGATCCATCTCTGCGTGCTTTTGGCTTCCCCGGATTTATCTCCTGCGCAACGTCGCGATGAGCGCCAGCGTCAACGTCGCCTTCGGGGTAAGCGTCAGCACCCGCTGCTTCACATCTACACGTGGTTCTCATTAGCGGGAGATGGGGTAATTTTCTTTTCTTCTTCGTCATTAAATGTACATGCCCGGTTACGTGTACATGCACGGTTTCAGTGCCCTATACCGCACCTAGGAAAGGGTGTTTGTGTTGCGTTAACGTCGTCAGCTCTCTGTTGGTCTAACTGTTGCTTTCTCATTTTTAGTGAAACGATGGCGAGCAGTTGGATTTACACATTGTGGCGCACACCCGTTCTATTGCGATAGCAATTATATGGACACTCTCTGTTAGATTTTACCACCGTCGTCATGAACCGCCGTCATTCACCGTATATGTAAACGTGTCTACACATATGAAAACACAAGAAAAAAAACAATTCAGCAAAAGACTCCGGCGTGCGAAATCGACCGCTCGACCTCTTGCCTGGGAGTGCGTGGTATTAGCCACTGAGCCACGAAGGAGCACCCCCTTTAACGTTGAAACGGCAAGCCATTTATATCTACCACTAACCGCTGGCGGTTCCCATCTCGGGGGAACTAACGCGTTTTCAGCATTACCAGCGAGATGGCGTGATGAGCGCGCATCGCCAGATTGTCACGACGTGGCGACGCGTGCCCATTCGGGATCTTCCACGCGTATGTTTACCCCGCGGAAGGTTTGGGTGGTGGTAGACGCTCATGCTTGCGCGTGCTTTTCTCGCAGTGGCGAAAATCGTACGGTCTCACCGGAGTGATTCTGCTGTAGTTACTGGGCGCACAAAGGTCACTGCACTCTCTGCAGGGTCTCCATTAGCGAAAATTGTGCGCTTTTCATACACAGCGAAGGAATAACTGAGAACACTTGTTCGCGTTCATCTGTACCTGTGAGTACGTTTCGTGCGTCATTTGTGTGCGTGCAACGCGGGGCACGTTTTGATCTGCTTGCCATTCTTCTCGTGACGTTCCAATTTGTTGCTCTTTTGCGGCAAAACTGTGACTTTTTTATGTTGTGCCATGGCTACATGTTACACCGTGACAACAGGAGACCTCGAGAAGCCTAGTATGTATGGTGCTTCACACACAAGTCAGAAAGGCTAAACCAAACTAGGACGAGACGAGTGCCCACCAGCTATGCGGGAATCCAGACTTCCAAATAAGTGATATTTCGGCTTGTCCCCCACCCCCCTAGTGTATTCATTTTTTTACCATTTACAGACGCAGAGCCACCACGCATTGTCATCTCTCCGCGGGACCAGACGGTGGTGACCGGTGGGACGGCAGTGTTCACCTGCATATCCGATGGCAACCCGCAGCCGCAGATCGAATGGCGCAAGAGTGGCAAACGCCTCTTTTCCTGGCGCTACACGGTGACCGAGATGACTGGAGGGTCAGTGCTTCGCATTGACCCCGTCCGTAGCGGCAAAGAAGACGCCACCTACGAGTGCCTCGCCGAAAACGGGGTCGGTGATCCTGCCAGGGCTCAGTTCAAGCTCACTGTGCTTGATGGTAAATACCAATCACACGACTAACGTAGCTTCTATAGACATATTTTACGGAGATGACGATCTCCTCCGTGTTCGGCCGGAACTGGCTTTGAATTTTATTTTGTTTTTCTTCGCTTTATCAGAATACACGATTCCACAGGGCTTCCCACGCTTCGAGGTAGTGCCCAAACCTCAAGGTGTGGAGCTTAACCGCAGTGTGCTACTTCCCTGCGAAGCCCAGGGAGAGCCCGAACCCAAGATATCCTGGCTCCGAAACGTCATCCCCATCAACATGACCAATCCACGATACTCACTTGCGGCTTCAGGCAAGTAGACCCTGCAGCCACGCCATTGGTCGCGGCAGCCATACTTCGATGGATGGAAATGCTAGAGGTCCGTGTACTCAGATTGAGGCACACGTGGAAGAACACCTCGTGGTAAAAATTCACGGACGACTACACTACAGCGTCTCTCATAATAATGTCGTGATCTTAGGACATGAAACTCCAACAATTATATAAGCTGAATGCTGTTCTGCAAAAGGTCAATGGGCCGCACCGTTGTTGAACGACCGCGCAATCGGCTACCTTAATGTCCCTTTCCAACGTAACGTTATAGAAAGTGGAGGTCAGCTTATGGGAAGACCTTGTAGGTCCTCTATATGGGGGTGCACATCAAAAATGAAAGGAGAGGGATGTGTGGTCAAGGCATCCGCATTACGCTTAATTATCTACCAGTGATTAATAAGTATCAATACAAGTTAAGATGAAATGGCAGTCGCGGTGTGCGCACTGAACTGGGAAGCCTTTGGCAGATCGGCCGGCATGCTCTTAAAAGCTGAGAAATCGCAGGAGTCTGTAACAGTGCTCAGAGGTTACTTGTATACAGTATACTACCGATTCCCTGAAGAGCTGAAGAAAGAAGAGAAGGTGAAAGGAGGACAAGGAAGTTAACAGGGACGTAATTATTTACCCTATAGTTCTTTACTCATTCCTGAGGAAGGGGCAAGAGGACACGGAAATTTTGAGTTGTGTAAGGAGTGAGAGTCTGCTGTTTATTCACAACTGAAACCTAACGTAATGTTCGTAGGCAGGAAATCTCTACTTCAATAAAGCAAAGATTTTCAAATTAATGCACTTGTCTGTTTAAAGGTATCAGATAGAACCACGAGTGTTCTGTTCCATTTTTTTAGTTTTGAGACTCCACATGACGCCGCATAATCTTGATTGATTGATATGTGGGGTTTAACGTTTCAAAAGCACCATATGATTATGAGAGACGCAGTTGTGGTGGGCTGCGGAAATTTCGACCACCAGGAATTTTTTAGCGTGCACCCAAATCTGAGCACACGGGCCTACAACATTTCGCCTCCATGTCACATAATCTCGAGTCATGACGACGCCACATGGTGACGTCGTCACAAGACGATCTTTTTGCGTCACTCTAGTTGACGCAAACAGAGACTTGTCGCGGTTGATGTGGCATTGAAGGTGTTCGCCATAATAACCCCCTGTGCAGGTTCGCTGGAGATCTCCGACGCCCAGGAAGAGGATCAAGGCAACTACGAATGCATAGCGGAGAATACTGTGGGCACTGCCATCTCGACCACGGCAACCCTCTTCGTGCGTGGTAAGTAGACTTGTTGGGCCTAAATATACAAAAGAAAACCAACTTCTCGAAACGATTCGGGCATATATTCCCATCGATTTGCAGCAGGGACAGTGGAACCTGTGTGCGGATACAGTTGCAAGTCATGGTACTTCTGAAACGCGTATTCTACCCATCGTAGTTGCAAGTTTCAGCGAGGGAACACAAGAAGAATGTAGGGACCAATATAAACGATAAACACATTGCTGTGCTATGCATGGCATGTGCTTATGGCATAGCATCGTAACCAGACATTGCTGGCTCTTTTAAAAAATATTATTGTAGCAGCTTGTCTAAAAGCAACTCATCAGTTTCCATTATTTTTTTTATTTTAAAATGTATTAATCGATATCATAGTGAATGCAAAAAAGTTCATTTACAAGAACTCTATGTATAATGACGACAGGTATTGTCATGTATCATATTACCTTCAACTTCCTCGAACTTCTGTGCAGTTGCTTGCAAAGTGTCTTTTAAAAGATCACAACTCCCGCTAAAAAGAACCATGCGTAGATGCGAAGCAGTGGGTGCTCACGCTTACGCTGGCGGTGACGTTGATGCTGGCGTTCATCACGGCGTTGCGCAGAAGGGAAACCTGGGTGGTGCAAAGCACGCAGTAATGGACCACTGTTTTCTAGTGGAAGACGCCAATCGCTGATAATGGACAATGAGAGGCAGAAGACGCCGAATTTAACACAGAGACCTGCAGTCCGCTTTTTAGTTAACACGCATGCTGCAAATTTTCATTGTTCAACTACGCTCAGGAGAAATCTCTTACCGGCACTACATTGAACGTCAAGATCCAGTGCCTATATATACAGTGTGGCCAGATGATGATGATGATGATGATGATGATGATGATGATGATGATGATGGATTGTGGTCCTGCCCTTTGTAACGGGTAGACAGCTCTCAACTGCCTTAACCAGAGAAAGAAAAGAATGAAAGAAAGAAAGGAAGGAAGACGTAGAGAAAAGAGACAGAGAAAAACAAAACGTGACACACACAAATACACGCACCCACACTCACACACAAAACGAGTTATCACGTTTCAAACAGCACGCCAGTGTCTCCTTGCAGACCAGCTACATTGTCTAAACGTCTACATTGTCTGCGCGTTCTGCGCCACCACTGCACCAATCTCTGTTTTGTGACGTGGACCGCGCAGGCCATCGCTGTGCTTTTCTCCGTATCTCCTCGGAATCACAGTGCCAGCGGGAAGGTGGTGTCCTCTAGGTGACCCGGATCCGGGCACAAGTCAGCGCAGCGGAGGACGATGTGTTCTATGGTCTCCTCTTCAGTGCCGCATATTCGGCATATGATCCGGGCCACGTCCGCAGATGTGTTGAACCTGCGATGGTATACCAGCGTACGCAGCGCTGCTGCACGTGCCTCAAAAAGGAGGGCGCTGCCACCACTGTTATCATAAAGGAGCTCCATGCGAATGTCGGCTTTGTGGGTGCAGCATGTGAGCAGCGTGGATTTAAGGACAATATAAAACCGGACCTTCTCGAGGAGCGTTGGCTAAGTGCACTAACTAGCTCAGATCTGCACGACCAACTGTGGGCAATCCAGCGGGCTCGGACAGCGGTGGAAAGGCTACGCCTCACCGCACAAAACGTCGGGGTGGCCTGAGCCCGGTCCGGTAACCCTGCCGGGTTTCTTTTTTCAAAATAGTTTTTCCGTCCGTCCGTCCTCTATGGCACGCTGCCACTGCTCTGTCTCCTCCGCACACACCTGCGACTTCACTGCATGGGTCCACTTGTACATATTGTCCTCAATCACCGGGTTTCAGAGAAGCCAAACTTTCTTTTCCGGTTGCCCAGGCGCCTGCACCACTGCGTTTGTGTGCCGTTAGACTCGCATATCTGAATCGTCGACTGGGCCACCATTCGTCACCCATGAGTCGCAGGCGTCTTTCGTAAGTAGCCTTACTTCTCGCCTCGCGCGCCTAAAATGAAGACCATCCCAGGTAACCCTGAATGACCGCTATGACGACACGCCCGTGGCATCCAAGGGCCACACGGCCCACCTCCCGCTGGCCACGCTCCAGCCACTGCCTGGTTGTCACAGTGAGGCACAGTATGGCATCGGCAAATGTGAGGCCTGGGATATGAACAGCCTTCCACACGCCTCGGATGAGGAGGAAACGGTTGCATCCCCATAGGCTTTTTCTTGTGCAGATTTATTTCATGCAACCCCAACAAGTCACCGCAGGTGCTCAATACCACTTCGAGGTACCAATATTCAGTGGCCCATTGTATCTGATCTCCTCCTGGTAGGTATATGTCGGCATTAGGGCGGGAGCCTGACAACTGTAATGTAGCAGACTTCTTTACATTGAAGGTCTGGTCCAGGTGGTACAGATGGGTCGCAGCGAGGGTGACCAGTTTTTACAGGTCCGTTGGGCTTTCGGCTAGCAGGACCACGTCGTCTGCATATACTAAACCCGGCAGCTTCCAAGTCACGCGCATTCCATCGTTCAGGTGGGTGAACGAGAAGCCGATACCGGATGCTAGGAGCATATGTTCCTGTCCGGAAACATAAATCATGTATAGAGGGGGTGAGAGGGGCAGTTCTGCTTAAGTCCTCGTGTTACCATTACTGGTCGGGACTGGGCTCCGTTAAAGCACGCTATAACTGAATTATCTTTGTACAACCGACGCATTAGGCTGACCCACACCTCTGGCATTCCGACATCTGCCATCCGCTGGAATAGGGATTCATGTGGGACACTGTCATATGCTTTAGCTACGTCAAGAACGCAACCATACAGGTTTCTGGACTGCTTGAGAGCGATTTCTATGGTTTGTATCAGCACGAAGAGGTTGTCTACCAGGCGTCGGTCAGCTCGGAACCCGTTCTGCAAGTCTGTGAACACGTTGTTGTTCTCTGCCCACCCACTCATCCAGGCCTTCAATACCTGTGAAAAAACACGGTATAGAACGGTTGTTACAGTTAAAGGCCTGTAGTCTCGTAGAAGCCCAGCGTCTCCACCTTTATTTCTCACCAGGAACACCCTCTATGTTCGCCAGTCTGTAGGGACTGGGTCACCCGCCATTATGCCAGAGAAGATGTTGGCAAGGTGATCTCGGGCAGCATCCCCCAGGTGTTTTACAACACTGGCGGGTATGCCATCGAGTCCTTGCGCCGAGTGTGCACAGATGCGTGCGATTGCCCTGTCCACCACTCTTCGCGTCACTTGCCATTTCATTATTTCATCTTCGGGGCAGTGGATTTCTGCTTCATTCTTTTCTGCAGACACGCATGCTGACTGCGCGGGTCGGTATAGGTGATGCATATGTTCTGTAAGGTGTTCCGAAAGATCACAGACGGCCAAATCCATCTCCCGGTTTCGAATCCGCGGCATGGCTGCCCTCCTGTCAAGCGATGACACATATGTCCAAAACCACCGGGAACCGTTTCACCTGTCTTCAGTTAAGGCTTTCAGACGCTTGCCATTGTGCTCGGTAATCTTGCGTTGTACTATTGCTTGCATACCTATTTTGCATTCCAGGTACTTCTACCATAGCTCTGCACATTCGTGTGGAAGGAGCTCCTTACCGTTTTTCTATCTAGGCGATTCACCTCCCGTCGAGCACTTAGCGCTACTTTGACCTCCTTGTCCCACCATGGCTTCCGACGCACCCCTCCACGGGAGTTAACGCATACTTCATGTGCTTCCATTATCTGTTGCAGAGCTTCTACATATTTGTCATGGGAAGCTGACTTCAGAATCACGAGGCTGCCTTTAAACTCTTGGGCCATGTCTTCATATGTCTCTTCCGGTAGGTAGCGTGCGGCGGACTCACGACAGTCTGTCCGTTTTTTGGCACCATGGAGGTCAAGAAGGTAGATTTATTTCGGTTATGATCACTTCTTACGCTTGAACTTCCCATCATTATCTATTGTGATTGATGTGGCGTGCCGGGACAGCTTTGGTGACATAAGTACACAGTCGATGCATGAATGGCTGTTCCTAGCACACCATGTGAATTCACCCTCGCAGTCAGACCTAAGGTTGGATATTTCTAAGTTTAGTTCACGTGCTGTCAGGTCCACCAGGTCTCCATATTGTCCTTGAACCCACACAGTGCCTGCAGATGGCCATTGAAGTCGGCCATGAGTAAAAATTTTCTGTCAGCTGTCCAATGCTGTACATCCATTGACACACATTTGATAATTCGAGCATTTTCATCATGCTGACCATTGCTCACTGCGAGGTAGGCCACACTGACTATCACGGGAATCCCTAGGATACTACCATGGAGCCACATATGTTCAGTGCAAGGGCAGGTAAATCTTTCCCACATCGCTCCGGACCGCCACAAAATACCTACTCCCCCGCCTTTGCGTGTATTCCCTTCGCGGTCAGAGCCTGACCATTCCCAGTTCGGATGTACAGGGGGTTCTTCCAGCCCACTAAAGTGCGTCTCTGTTAGCGCATAAAGTTCCATTCTTTAACTCTCTAGCATCGCATATTTCTCTTCCCCCTTGCTCGGCTTTCTTGCGACATGTACGTTGAGGAGACCCACGTTGGTTTCTCTTACACGTAGGCCATGGTGGTGGCGATGACAGTGTACATATTTTACTTCTGATTGGAGGGACGAGGGGGCTTTCTGCGCTTCACCTGGTCCTGTTTCTCTGCCATCGGTAGCATCACCTGTCCGAGGGCTGTCATAAGCGGTGCCCGGGGGTGCGAGCCGCTTCTTCGTGTCCGTCGTATTGTAGTTCCAACCGGATGGAGTCCTAAAAAAACACAAAGCCTGTGTCTTTGGCGTCTGCCCAGTTCCTCAGCAGCGCCGACCTTGTAGGGCAAGCTGTGCACCCCACCTGTTGGCGCTCGTGTGGTGCTTACAAACTCCACCTGTTGGCCCAGTTCATCGCAGGCCTTCCTGAGCGTCTCGTTCCACAGCTTGTATTTGCTCAGCATTACGTCATTACAGTGTTCCGGTTCAGGAACACCGTACGCAATGAAGCGATGTTTATTGGCTCTCGCCTGCCATGCCTGCATCCTGGCTTTGATCTCCTGTATTATAATATCTGGGGAGGCATCACTGTCCACGATACCACTGCTTCCGAAATGAACGGCCACAACTGCCTCCGGTGCGCTCAAAATGTCCAACGCAGCATCCTTTTCATCCATCCTATTCTGAAGGGTGGCATTCTTCCATGTGCGGAACTGAACTAGCCGGTTCCACTTCACAGCCCGTAAAGTGGTGTGTCTCATTTTGAAGGCATTTTGTCTCCATATATGAAAGCACACCGACCTTCATTGGGCGGCTCCGTGAAGCGCTTCTGTTGTTTGGGCACCTCTTTGTTGGAAGATCCCGTTTCTCTCGAGCTCTTGCCTAGCTCTTTACGCTTTTTGTTTCCCAAGGTGGGCCTCCACCCCTGGAGCACCAAGGCATATTCGTCATCCAGTTGGCTGCGCTCTTCCATTCTCGGTTCGAGTGACTCTGAGCGGCTTCCCGGACCTGCCTGGCTACGCACTTTGTCACGTGTGTGATGTTCCTTGTCTTCCTCTTGGGGCAAACGTGACGTGCCGTTGTCCTCCGTGGCAGCATGATGGGACCCTTCTAGCTTTTAGGTCCGGGACCCTTCCGTCACGCTCTTCAAGTCATCAAGCTGCGTCTGCAGCTGAGAAACCTGCACCTGGAGTTCTTCGCACATGCGGGACTCCCACCCCAGCTGAGAAAGAGCGTCGTTGAGCTTTGTTTTAGTATTCTCAAGCTGCAACACATACTCCTCTTTATGCTGCCACAACAACTGCGCGAACTCCTCTCGCAGGACGTTCAGCCGGACGCACTGCTTGCAGTCATAACGTGTTGTCGCGCTTGCCTCCTCTACAGTTTCAAAATGCGCGTAAACAATGTAGATACACACATCACAACTTGTACATGCCACCCAGCTCTCTCTCTCTTGTTACTGGCTTCGGCGGACGGGCTTCATTTCGCTCGCGTTCTGCCCATGCTGCGGTTCTTGGCCACCTTTAGTGCTCAAATATCCCGCTTCCGCACACCACCACAATCTTAGTTACGCTGCTAGCGCCATCTGGTATCTGTCTCGTGAAGTAGCTTGTTACCGATGTGTCATCGGTCAGTTGGTTAGGCTTACCTTCTCGCCGGCACGGTAAGCTGCACACTAGCCAACGGGGACAGTAGACAGAGCCTCACGGGATGCACTTCACTCACAGCCCAACAAACCCCACAGTACTTCACGTAGATTGCGGCAAAATTACACACACATCATTCAAGACGTCACAACGGTGCACACAACGCACATGCGTGCAAACCAGAGTTATTCAATCATATGAGTTGCGAAGCTGCATTCCGAAACCCGGATACGCCATTGGTTTACCTAGCGGGAATGAGCCGATCGTTGCGCTATCTGGGAGTTACAATACAGAACACTGCATCGTCACTTGTGCGAGCGCTTTTTTTAGGCAGGTCAACGCCGCACGCAACACTGGCGTTGTCGCCTCAATGAATGGCCTTAGCTTGCACGGCGCCCGCCGCCGCTGTCAGCTGTTTTCGCTCTGCAAAGGCGTAATCAAAGCCGGGTCAAAGCGTCAAGGTTTGTTTCGTCGAAAGTGGTGCTTACAATTTCGTGCTACCATGGTTTTAACGCTGCGCCCTGATTATTTATATTACTCCTCGCTTGCTCGTTTGAAAAATGTGCGCTTTACATCGATTGCTCACGGGAAGTTTGACGAATCCTTTTAACTGTTCTACTCAGTGGTTCACGATGTGTCTCACTAACACGACGGGAGTGATGGCCGCACAAACAAGACACAGGTACGGTAGAGGGCAAACCGAAGCACAACAGTACCGATCAGTACTTACCGCAAATTGGTCGCTTTGTCTTGCACGCAGCGGTTGAATTCCACTAATCGCGAAATCAATGAGACACCGGCTGAGATACCATATATTTATGAAAGCCTGATGACAAGAAAGTGGGAACTTGAGCATTGCTATTTACTTGCAACTAGCACTGCAAGCGTTCTTTTCTGTTTAGGTGCTATGTTAGTGGAGTCTTTCCAACGGCACCGGAGTTTGCTGCTCGGGCAACGTCGTCTGCTGCCGTCGACAGATTTACAGGTTGGATCCACCCGGATCAACGCTGCATCCCACTTGCATCACGCTTGCCGAAATGTAAACATCGTGGGCTCGCTACATGAATCGAATAAACTACCGACTTCACTGCTACGTCCATTACGCTGTGCTAGCTGTGTACCTACCACACGAACATGCCGCATATAGCCACGTTACTTCTAGCGCAATGCGGAAAGCATGAAAAATGACACAACATCAAGAGAAGAAGCAGCTCCTCTGTCCTTTATCACTTCTCCACCACTGCGACTATCTAACATGTTCAGCACCCTTAGGCACCAACTCACCTAAGAACAAATTCTAGGCGCTGTCATGCTATTTAGCAGAATGCGGCGGCGCTCACAATCTTGATAAATGCAAAAACACAAAATATTGCGCTTTCTAGTTAGTTTTGTTGTCAAGAGGTGACGCTACAATCTACTCACTTCTGCCATTTCAGCTTATGTTGTGTTCGGATTTTGATACACGGAGCCTATGGGGAGTTTCGCAACTCGCATGATTGAATAACTCTGGTGCAAACGTGTCCATGATAATTAAATTGGGTAGCGGCTAACGGCCATTGAACGAGTTTGCAGCCCGACCTGTCGGTTTTCGCAGTCAAGAAACTCACTAGCAGACTGCCTGCATCGGCGTAGCGAGGTGACAGGGGGGAACGTAGAAGGGGAGAGAGGGCGGTGGGGACACGCATGCGCAATGGGGTTGTAAACGCCGCAGGGAGGAATGCCCAGAGGAGAGAGAGGGAGAACGAGCGTAGGTTAGCAGATGCTTCCTGCAATGGCATTGTGAGGGGAGAGAGGGGAATAGTAGGAGAGAGGAGTGAGGGCGAGCGGATGCGCTCATGCAGTAATGATGGTCATGCCGCACACTGGATTGAGCTCGATCTTAAGCTGCTTCGCATCTTAAAGCATTTACGAAGGTATCTGCTCCATGAGCTAAGTGACGTCCCCCTCCGCCTCCCCTTCAGCAAGCAAAAAACGGTATTGGTAAAGCAATGCTTAAACATTTCCGGCCATTTTTCAGCCCATTATCATTGTGCACGCATAAATACCGTTACATTTAATGCCGCAAACATCTCATGGATTCTTACGCATTTATCTAGGAAGACTGGAACAACAAAAAGACCTCTTCCTCTTTTTCTTCTAATTTGATCTTGATCCCATTCAAAGCTCTATGCTACTAACGTAGTGCTGAACTGCCTCCGAGATCGGAGGTATGCCAAGAATTCAGCCCCACACGGGGTTTTGCATTGCCTCCTGGATCGTGCCAACACTTGAACAAACGCTGATGTCATGTAATAACGTCGTCACGTGACGTAACGTTATCTGATTTCCTGGTGACGTTATCAAATGACGATTTTTTTTTGCGTTAGTCGTGTTGAGGCCGTGGACGTCGACAATGAATTGCCGCGTTTGATGCGACATTTAAGGTTTTCGCCTTATAAGTATTCTCTATATAGAGACAGTTCTGAGCTTGAGTAAGGCTAAAAAATGCTGTTAATATATGCGCGTTTGGTATTAAAGTCCATTTTCATGTGGTGCACCCATTGTGATTGATGTTATCGTGAGTCCATGACTTCTGGCTGCAGTGTCAAGACTGATGACTTCATGCGCCAGTATGACTGTGTTGACATCAGGTACAAAACATTCAAAATCAGCGCTTGGGCGTTTTCAACGGTGCCATAGAGTGGAGTGGGGGGGGGGGAGGTGATTCTTGAATGAAAAGAAGATAAAAGTGAACCCCATAACTGTCTCTCAGAGGGAGGACACCTCAACAGTAGCTCGCGGGGGATGGGGGTAAGGATGGAATAAAAAAGGATAGTAATTAAATGTATAGATATAGAGATAAGATCAGGAGGAGAGAGAGGCGCAGATACAGCCACATACGGAAGTGAGGAGAAGATTGGAAAGATGGACATGGTCGCAGAAGTCTGAGGACGAGGCACCGCTCAGTGAGAGCTCTTGCCGGCGTCAGGAGATAGTGTAGGATGAGCCAGTCGGCCAGAGCTGCACTGTCATCGGAGATCGCGGGGGCTCAACCGGTGGGCACGAAATCCAGCGAGCAAACTTCACAATATCTTACGTGAGCACGTGTCGAGAAGGTCATATCGTTTCGTGATGTCAGGTTTAAATAGGAATCAAAACTAGCTCTTAAAGACGTACTAATTAAGAACTACTAATTCAGAGTGCTGTTAACTTACCAGTACATTTTTTAGGCTTTTGAGGGTTTAGCCTTTAATTTCACGCTAGGAAACAACTGAAAAGCTTTGTCTCACTACCCCTCAGTAATAGCTTCACATTCACTGTACTCTTTTCTTCCGCGCAGTGCGTCGGGTGCCGCCGTACTTCGCGATTCCGCCGGAGAGGACCTTCGAAGTGTCTCCGGGGGCCGCGCTTAACCTGACATGCGTGGCTGTGGGAGCGCCCATGCCTCTCGTGCGTTGGCGCAAAGGTCGCGTGGACCTAACCGCCTACGGCGAGCCAACGTTGGGGCGCAACGACCTGATGCTGGAAGACATTGCAGACGTATGCGGCATGATGCAGACGTATGCGGCACTAACATCGTTAGTGCCGCATACGATGCCCACACGGAACCGATTTTCAAGGCTCTGCACTTATTCCCAGTACATGAGCTATATCACACAATTTTAAACAATCGCTATAAGTCGGCTATAAAAAATAACGACACATTTTTCACAGAATTGTCGGCGCTAACTCGCGCTGAACATGTGCGAATTTTGAGGACTCGTGAAGTCTGGAGATTACCAAGACCACGAACCAATTACGCAACACAGATGTTGAAATATCAGCTACCGCTACTACTTAACATATCCGAAAAACATAAGTAACACTTCCGCATACTCAATTCGCATGTGTATGATGATAAAATGTACCTGTGAATCTCTCTCTCCCCCTTCATTTTGAACGAGTGCATCTCTGTATACTGTACCAGTGCCTTTATTGTGTACATTTTTTCAGTTCCACTAGCTCGCTTATGTTGTTGCAATGAAGGTAACTGTTATGTGCCCGTTTTTGCCTTTGTACGCCACGATTGTACGCCACTCTGTACGCCACGTTTGCCAAGCCCGGGGGTACGGACCCTGTCAAGCCTCATCTATGGCTTTTTGTCCGTACCCACCAAGCTCCACTGAATGTCTTTGAAGCTGAAATAAATCATGATTGATTGATTGATTGATTCGCGAGTCGGCCAATTACAGCTGCGTGGCAAGCTCCCCGCTCGGCAGCATCGAACGTGTCTCGCAAGTTCTCGTCCGAGGTGAGAGCATACACAGCCGCCGAATCTGCAAACGCGAGTCAACCTGATGATCTGACATCACGTGAGCGAGTGAATGTGTCTCAAGAAAGCTTTTGATTCTAATATTTTCGAGTCAGCCACCACAATAATAGTGGCCATTAGTCTGTCCGCTAATCTGCTATAATAAGTCTATCCGGTGACGCACTTTATTTCGAAAATTCTCTGGTTCTTTCTTCTTATATTTCTTTCGTTTCTTTCTTGATTCAGTCTTCTTTATTTATGTCTTTTTGTATATTTCAGTTCATTTCTCGCTGTTTCTCTCCTTGCCTTTCTCGGTTTTACTATCTTCCTTTCTCTATCCACCTTTTCTTTCTTTCTGTTTCTATCGATGTTTCCCTCGCTTGCTTCAGTTCGCCCTATCTCCTTCTTTTTCTTTCTATCTTACGTTATTTCTAACGCTATCTTTATCTTTCTATGCTATGATATACTATCTCCAACCGCCGCTGTGGTATATGGTTAAGGTGCTCTGATGCTGACCGGAAGGTCACGGGTTCGACCCCGGCCGTGGCGTCGACATTTCGATGGAGATGAAATGCTAAAGGCCCTCGTGCTGAGCAGTGCTACTCTCAGTGCACGTGTAAGCAAACCAGATCGCCAAAATTTCCGGAGTTTTCCCACTACGGCCTGCCTCGTTGTCCTGTCCTGGCTTTGGCACGTAAAACCTGAGCTATTATTAGGATTTGCTCTCTCCCTTCCTCCTTACTTTCCGATATGCCCTCACTCTCACTTTCCTTTCCTACATGCTCGCTATACTATAGTGAACATGGCTATGTACAGAATAGCGTAGAACTATGTTACGTGGCTATGTAAAGCGCTCTCTGCTGCCCTGCCAGCATGCCAGGATAGCTGAGTGCACATGGTTAAGACGCTCGATCTCTGGTTGTAGGTACGCGAGTTGCAATCTCGCCTCGCGAAGTATATTTTTCCCTTTGAATTTCGCTCTGTCACTATCTCTATATCTCTTCCTTGCTAACTTTCTTTCTCTTTCTGTATCAAAGGTTGGCAAGAAATGTGGAGCCCACTCAGGCTCACTCATTAAAAGCATTCTGTCCTTGGCACTCACTCGGACTCAGACTCACGAAAGTTTTCCGCACCTGAACTCGCAATATCTTCCTCAGCCGTAACCACTGAGACTCAGACTCCCCAAAACATAAACTCACTCGGATTCAGTCCTACTCAGACTCATGGCTCAACCTGAGTGTGGGTGAGTCCGGTCAAGTCCATTGGCGAGTGATTTTTGTGTAATTATTGACTGCATAAGTGGGGATGACAGCGCGTGGCTGAAAGGCGCAAACTAGTTAGAAGTCCCACACCTGGTTCTCACATTGTGCGCATGTTTCATAGAGAATTAAGTGGCGAGGAGGAAACAGCCTCTGTACGAAGAGCACTGACGGCGAGGGAGAACCTCTTTGTAGTCATTGACCTCTTTGTAGTCAATGAACTCAGATTGTTCTTGCGGCTCTTCAAGTGACGTGGCGCGTAGCGTCTCGCTGACCGGTATAATTATGTTCTTACAGAGGGGGAGAACCAGAGCTTGACCTACTCACGAGTAGGCGACACTCGGGCGGACTTCGACAACCGTACAGACGGGAATTCCTCCGCACCGGTACGTTCAGGCAGCGCAGCATCGAGCGCAGATACACGGGCTTCATTGGCACGACCTGCAAGCGTAGCTGATCTCATGACCGCCGAGGGCGAAACCACGCTTACCGAAGCAGCTGGGCTCGCGGGCACACTGTCCTCACCCCAAAAAAGCGTTGCAGAAGAGGCACGTGTACGCATCGCGCTGTTGCAAGAAGAGCACGCGCTACGCATGAGGCTTATCCAAAAAGACCACGACGACGTATTGAAGAAACGGGACGCAGAGCACAAGCTCAAGATGGAAGTCTTGAGACTGCAAAAGGAAGTTCAAGATTTCGTGTTGAAGAGGCTGCAGCAAGGCGAGTGAAAGGTGTTGCTTCAGTTCCTTCAAGTATTCCTTCAACAACTCTGTGCGTTGTGCGTCGCATTTGGTACAATGGCATGACATGTACTATAGGCATCAAATACTACTACTAATACACGGATAATACACGGATAAACGATGAAGTGGAAGGAACATATACAATCGTTGTTCCACACGAACATACAAAATGTGTCTCAAAAAGATTGGTACCCATATGCACATGTTTGGACAAAGCGTTCAGCGATTCAGAATACCATGTACTCTATTATGGCAGTTATAAAAAGTGATTGACGAGAGGCTTGGTGAAGGTCCTGTGTTTAGACCCGTGAGCCTCATATTTAATCAAACCCGGGTGGTGTTTAGGAAAATGGTTAACGATTTTGAGTACTTGGTGCTCAACTATGGGAGAGCATAGAGCCGTCCCGTGCGTGGTGTGTACGGACAAATCGTAACATTTCACTACATTACTGTGTGTTTAGAAGAAGTGTTTAACGATTTCGAGTACTTCGTACTCGACTATGGGAGAGCCTAAAGCCGTCCCTCAGGTACTACATTACCGACGAGCTTAAACTAGTGGGCCGTACACAGTGTTGCATACGTGTGCGTTTTTCTTGACATATAGTGCTCTACAAGCGCCTTTGTGGTACTGGTTTTTTTCAGTAAGTGTCAAACTTTGTGCAAATAATATTGTTTTTTTATTTCATTATCACACATTTCCATTAACTATTTTAGTCAGCAACAGCGATCTGTTAATTGAAAGTTTACTTTTTGTTCAGATTAAGAGAATAAGCCCATTTTATCTTTAAGAATGCACTATCAGAAATGAGCTTGTTTTCAAGAATAATTGAGGGCAAACAGGCTTCACTTTTGCCAATAAGGAATGTTAAGATTTCCGTCTATCACTAATCACAAACAGAAGTAGAATGATCATTTGCCTCCCGGCTTCGTCTTTACTTACGTGACTATGTCCTACTATTAGATGAGTAAACTCTCCCTGCAAGCTGCGCACAGTCACCACAATGAAGCCAGTGCGTGCACCAAAAGAACATGCTGCTGGGATGCTACGTTGTTTTACATCGGCAATCATTAATGAGCACGGCTGTTCAGTGCGAACAAACAACGAGGCGAAAAGGTTTTTCTTGCGGCGAATCCAAGAACTGTCCATAAAAGGCCGAAGTACAAAGGGGAGGGTTTGTCGAAAAATCGCATGCCATTATACCTTGTATTACTATGAAAGCGTGACCAGCGAACTTCTGACCAGGACTGTACATCGTAGATTGAGGAGGATGCTTCGCATTAAAAAATAAAAAAAAAGATTGTAGTTCCACCACAAGGGCAAATCAATGAATTCATCGGCAACAAACTGCAATGTCATACACACAGAAGCCATGCAGCAGCTCGACACTTGCAGCGTACTGTTCCAACCAAGGAGGTTTAAATCTTTTAAAAATATCCTTGGTTCCAGCATTGAGAAGGACGTACGAAAGAAAAATACGATGATATACACAGCACGTCGCGAATTAACAATTGTGACAATTTTTTCGTTCGCTATCGTCCTGCATGTACATGTGAGCTCTTATCATGCCTTCTTGGTATTTGAGCAGCGTCCTGCAAGTGTCTAGTATATATGCACACTCAACTAGCTCCTATAGTTTGGTTTTTTACTGGAAGTTGTTTTGCGAATGCGGCAGTGACAGTGAGCGAAGTAACCTTCATGCGCTCTATAGCTTCTACGGAAACCTCGCGGTGAAAGCAGAAAACGTAGAAACCCCCTTGTTCAAAACAGAAGTGTGTGAGCACGGCCGATCACGCCCTGTAAGTCAACTTATAGGGTGTATGAACGCCTTACCATGCCTGCTAAGTACGAGCGAGGCGACGAACTTGAAGGCTAGGGTGTTTGGCTATGGTGTCAGAGAGAGAGAGAGAAAGAGAGAGAGGGAAAGAGAAGAGAATTGATTAAAGTGTTCCTAACCAGGTCAAAAAGGGGGGGGGGGGGTAGCCGGGTCTTTCCGTAACCCTTCAGCCTCAGGCCTTGAATCTTGGCGGTGTTCTCGGCCAGCCCAGAGCTGGTCCTCCGGGCTCGTGCTGAGCAGCATAGCCTACTGAAAGCACGCACCACTGCACTCTGTTTGAAGCGCACTCTCTGCGCCATCTCGCGGAAGATAGCAAACGGGCCTTTGCCAAGCTGAAGCACATCAAGGCTCCGCGTACCAACAGCGGTGAAACATGTGCATGAATAGATCGCCGTTGTTATGGGAGAACGTATGCTGCGTGGTAGGGTTGTTGAACGCCGTCGTGAGTTGAACAGGAGGTCTGAATCCACATTCAGAGAAATTCGCTTCTGACCTTCTCGAGCATCTTTATTTGCGGGTAACACACATGCACTACTATATAGAGCTGGATGGTTATGACAATGGCGCTAACACTCCGAGAGTTATTGTTGTGTACTTCACGTAGACGGTTAAGTGACAAAATACCGAAGAGTGCAAAAACAGCACGGCGTAGGTTACTGGATTCCCCTCAGTAACACGGGTCAACCACTAAGACTGGCGAAACGGTGACATGACATCGTGCATGACGTTTCTGCCCAGGTAACCCCGACGTGACAATGATCTGCCGGGTTACAAAATAGGCCCTCCCGTTTCGACCAAACGCACGTAATCGTGAGCCCAGTTATCAGCTGTCTGAGCACCTAGCACAGATCATAGAGTTTCCCAAAATTAACCACAGGGCACTCTGGCGCTGAGATCGTTCAGCGACCATGGGAATGATGGGTAGTACACACATTTGCCTAGTCTTCGTACTTGCGGGCGACGAATTGTACTTGCGGCTTCGTTTATTGCCGTGTTTCGGTTTCGTTTTGAGAGAAAGATTCAACCATTTTGAACTTCATGACCCGATTTCAAAAAGTAAGTCTAAAAAAATAAGATGCTGAAGCACAACCGCTGAACATTTGCTAATATTGGTTTCGCGAAAAAAACAGCTCCAAGCCACACGAACACACACGGAGCCAGAAGCAGGCCAGAAATACGAAAATTGAACAAATGTGTGTACTACCCATCATTCTCATGCTCGCTGAAGCGCCGTGTGTTGCAGCTCCCATAGACACTAGCGCCAGAGTTCCCTATAGTGTATATTAAGAAACTATATGGCACAGATACTGCGAGTTTTGTGACGTCACTGTTGATGGCGAGTGAACATGCACTGCCGCGATGCAGGTGCGATGCCGTCATATGCAGGTGGGGATTCGCTCGCAGGATTTCAAGCTGGACGGTTGTGCCCTCGCGATCTCCGACGCCAGCGTAGCTCCCGCCGACTGGTTCGCCCTCCGTGGTCTCCTGACGCCGTGCAGCTCTCGCATTGTGGCGCCCCGCCCTTGAACTGCTTCGACCGGATCCCCACTTTCCTATCTCCTTCTTTTTCCGTTGCTTGCCTGTCTACTTCTTCGTCTATTTTTCTTCTATTCTTTTTATCCTTCCTTCCCCCGACCCCTATAAGGCACTGCGCCGTGTCGCCTGAAGGCAGAGAGAAATTAGGTGCCTTTTTCCTCTTCATTCTAACCACTACCATATGCAGGTGCGATGGGATCATGTTAGTTGCTCTTATCGACGCGCTGTACGCAGACAAAGATGGCCGCCGGCTACGGGGAAGGAATGTGCAGCTGTCATATTTATGGAAAAAAACACGTGAACGCGTGGCTGATAGCCTCGCACCGCACTCGTGATGTGGCGCAGTGGCGGCGATATCGATAGGAGAGAGCAGAGTTGTTACTTCTGCTGCATACACTCGCCACACGAACGTGTCATTATTTTACGCTTTCTTCTCAATATCTATCTTCCGTTGGAGCAATTCCGGCAGTGGCGGCTGCATTTTTCGACGCAAAGGAAAGTGCTCTAGACCTGTGTGCTCAGGTTTTGGGTGCACGTTAAAGAACCCCAGGTGATCGAAATTTCCGGAGCCCTCCAATACGGCGTCTCTCATGATCATGTAGTGGTTTTGGGACGTTAAACCCCACATACCAATAAAATCTGTCGGGACATTGTAGCCAACAATTATCGCTCGTGATAAGGATGGTTGCGGTCAAAGCTTAGCCTGCCTCAACAATATAAATAGATAAGAAAAAAAGGAAAATTGTACGACGGTGTGCAGGCAATAGATGGAATGGCACCGCTATCCCCTTTCACTTTCCCATTTTACCACTGTGCCGGGCTACAGTGCGCGCCAAGAGGCCACTTGTCACCACGGGCGTCAGCCAGAGGGTGCAAAACGGGTACTTGCCCCCTATGAAGGCTCATCAACAAAAGGTGTCACGCAAGCTACACCGGTGCTTGCCCCTCCCTCAGCCACGGTGCAACACTGGTTTGCATCACCCAAGAAAAAAAAAAAAATCCTGTCGACGACCGTGCTCGCCACTCGCACGCGTGTTCCCTTTCGTAAGAAGGAGGGCTGTGCAGTCGGCCACAAGGTAACGCGATGAGCTAGCGCGTAGCAAAATTTTCGTCTTCTCCGTCTATAGTATAGGCGCCGTGCACACGTTAGGAGCTGCCCCAGTCGTGCGCTGCCTCCAGCGCCACAGCGGCCACGGCAGCAGACTTGACAGAATACGGGAGCAGACGCCGCAAGCAGCGGCATGCCACTGCACCACGCTTGGTGCTTTGCTTACGGAGTTTTTGCTCCCGCTGGACTGCAGCTTGAAACAGACGATAACAGCAATTGCACAGTCACGGCCACTACAGATGTGCTATCGCAAAGCGATGCCTTGCGCTATGCTATTCTTATCGTCTGAAACCCACGGCTGGCTGATCGCGTTGATAATGCGAACGCGTGGACGGACCGTCATACTGACATCCTAGCCAAGCGCGAAAACTACGAAAAGCATTCGCACCGAAAAGGGTATTCCCCGATTGCTTCCCTGTGCGAGCGGCTGAAAACATTCTTTCATCCACGCTTGTTGCCTCTAGAGGCGCCTTGACGAGCTACGTCTGCACGGAGCCTACAGTGGTGAGTTGTCTGCTGTTGAGAGCATTGCTGTGGGCGTGCCTAAGCCGCAGCAATACTCTCGACAGCAGGGGGTTCTTTACTAGAGGGCGCAGATGATAACTTTCGCGCGTGCTCTCGCGGTACGAATTACATTGAGGTCGACAGTGTCCGGTACATACTGCCTGTATACCCACTGTGTTGCCATGTGATCGGCTGTTAATCACTGTTGTTGCGCAGCCTAAAGACTTGTTCGCTTTCTTCCGGAACGTTTTTGTTGCTTACGACGCCAACAGCAAGATTGCACCGTCTGCGAAGAC